TGGAGGCTGAATGAGGCCTCGAGGGAAAAAGAGAACCGGTAAACCTTCTTACCTGATACCGTAATACAGGGTATTGGGATTCCACTTCTTGAAGACTTTTTGGAGGAAAGTAGTAGAACCTAAAAACATATGCAGTCTAAGTGTAAAGAACTGGTATATAAGGTATTTTAAGGAACAGAGGTTTTAAATCGTGTTTGTGGTCTGTAATGACAAAGGACCGTACAGGCTTAACCTATAGGCATAGTGACCTTAGGTGCGTAGCAGATTAATACATTAGTGAAAGTACAATAGACTAAGTCCCCTCAGGGTTAGTTAATAATGCCTGGAGGTGTGTATTATACGTAACTTATAAAAAGAAAGTGGCCAAACTGTGCCTTTAACAAGATTACCCTGTGAAAAATAGGTGTCCCACAATTATGTGACCATTAGTGAAACACATATCATTTTTTAACCAGTGGTGACTTTAAGAGCCATATAATAAAACGTAACATTGTATAGGAAAAATAATGTAAGTGCTTGGTTTAAAAAATGCATAACTAGATATATTTACAGTAGATTAAATTTAAACACTGTAGCCCCTTGCATTCAGTAAAACAAATGAACAAGAGTACTATAATAGAAAGAACTCCTGCATTCGGTAAATGGAACATACGAAAAGATTTAAACAAAAGCCAATTGAATAATCAGCTGCAGGCTGAGGTTATGGTGGGGAAAAATTTTGATTGAAAACCCCTTCCACCCGAAGTCTGTGGATAGTTACTACTATGTTAAACAAAAATCTGCACACCAATTAAGCCATAAGACTGGCTTTTCCCACAGAAATCCCAAATCTGCAGTGATGTTACAACCGCAAAGGATTCTGGGTGGGCATATGCAAATGAGTTTAACAAAGAATCACATTTTTGGATTTTGCTTCCCAAGCACTACCAAGCCTCAATAAGCAACCTCATGCTGATGAGTTGCATTAACAACGAAACAGCTGTCCATGAGTGGTTCACTGGTCTTGCATCTTTTCCTGAATTGTGTTCCAAGCAGTTGTATACTGCAAACAAAGATTAAAAGGAATCCATGTTTAAAAAGGAATGAGGCAAAAATGTGATTTTTTTCTAAACTCATTTGCATATGCCCACCCAGAATCCATGGTGGTTGTAACATCACTGCAGATTTGGGATTTCTGTGGGAAAAGCAAGTCTTATGGCTTGACTGGTGTGCAGATTTTTGTTTAACATAGTATTAACTATATATATATATCTATATCCCAATCATCTGGGGTGGCAACACATAGCCTTCCTGGGGTGGCAAGATGATTGAGATATATATATATATATATATATATATATACATATATATATATATATATATATATACAGTTGCAAGAAAACATTTGTGAACCCTTTGGAATGATATGGATTTGGGGGCATCAAGGTTTGGGGGTGCTTTGCTGCGTCAGGGCCTGGACGGATTGCTATAATCGAAGGAAAAATGAATTCCCAAGTTTATCAAGACATTTTGCAGAGCTTAAGGCCATCTGTCTACCAGCTGAAGCTCAACAGAAGATGGGTGTTGCAACAGGACAATGACCCAAAGCATAGAAGTAAATCAACAACAGAATGGCTTAAACAGAAGAAAATACGCCTTCTGAAGTGGCCCAGCTGACCTCAACCCAATTGAGATGCTGAGGCATGACTTCAAGAAAGCGATTCACACCAGACATCCCAAGAATATTGCTGAGCTGAAACAGTTCTGTAAAGAAGAATGGTCAAGAATTACTCCTGACCGTTGTGCACGTCTGATCTGCAACTACAAGAAAAGTTTGGTTGAAGTTATTGCTGCCAAAGGAGATTCAACCAGTTATTAAATCCAAGGGTTCACATACTTTTTCCACCTGCACTGTGAATGTTTACATGGTGTGTTCATTAAAAACATGGCAACATTTCATTATTTGTGTGTTATTAGTTTAAGCAGACTGTGATTGTCTATTGTTGTGACTTAGATGATAATCAGATCACATGTTATGACCAATTTGTGCAGAAATCCATATCATTCCAAAGGGTTCACATACTTTTTCTTGCAACTGTATATAAAATAAATAAATATAAAACTCAATCATCTGGGGTGGCAAGACATAGCCTTACATATTAAATGCAACAATATATGGCGCAATGACTTATGGGGCTGGCATAGATTTTTTTTTTCCAGGGCTGCTTTGTATCCCCAGTCCGGCCCTGTTAGTAACCCCTTCTGCACCACAGGGGTGGGCCTTGACAGAAGGGGAAACTGTAGTGCCAGGAAAATTAGTTAGTTTGTTTTCCTGGCACTATCGTTTCCCTTTAAATGCCAGTGGGCTGGTTAGGGAGATCTTTGTTCTCCCCCCCTCACCCCCAGCCCATTAAGGGACACAGCAAGGATAGTGCTGGCTCTACATGGACCAGAAGGTGATGTTGCGGATGGCACCGGGCTGTCCTGCAAATATATTGTACATAACTGCATTCGTGTGATCTGCTGTGTTATATGTTTTTTTAAAAGAATTGTATTCCTCTGATTGTTCGGTAGTTTCATTCCCTTAGTTCATTCGAATGAAACTACCGAACAACCAGACCTCCCCTGTGTGAAGTGTGTCCTCAATTACCCGTTGCAACATTGTTGCGAACGGGTAATTGACTAGTAAGTAGCCGTCCTTTGTTCTCGGGGGTGGCCGCCATTCGACAAACAAACACGTGGCGGCCGAACAGCGGTGTTTTGCCGTCGAGTGTCTGGAACTAAAATCGGACACTCGAGTAGGCGAACACCGCTGAGACCTCCACAAGCCCGGTCCGTTCGGTTCCTAACTACTATTCGGTAGATAGAAAGAACCGAACGAGGGGATTCAGGCGAACCCTCCCTAGCCTCTATAGCTAGAGGCTTTCGTGTATTTTGTTCCCTTATGCCAGGACCGACCGCAGGGCCCATTCGCATGGAACCTCATTCGGCTGTCTCAGTTAGTGCGGTCGGTCATTTTATTCCCTCCATACATTTCCCGAACCCCTGGTCTGATCTGGGTGATTTTTGGATATGTTGTTCACCCAGATCAGGGCTATCCGGGGATGTAGGATTTAAAGAGGTACCCCTACGTTTAGGGGTACATCCAGAAACGGGGGGAATTACTGTACTGGATAAGGGGATTATGATGCTGGCTGAGGGGAGGAGATGTGTGGGAGGTTACCAGGACAGGATTGGCTACTGTATTAATGATTGTAAATCCCTCCCTTGCATGGGAGCATGCTTTAAAAGGAGACTGTGGATTAAAGCTTTCAGTTCTGCTCCTGAAACTGTGTGTCGTCCAGTTATTGGGATTGCTGTTGGGGTATTGCTGTTATTTTACCTGCTGGAAACCTTGCCTGTGGATTTACTATTTACTTGTTCCTGAGCCTCACTTGGATTATAAGCGGAGATAACTTGGGGAATATTGCATCTCCGCTATATGTGAGATCTCCCGTGTTTGTGGTCCATGGCCATCGGAGACCACTGGCCATTTGCCTTATTTGCCTGATAGCCAGTCTGAGCCTGGACTAAAAAGAAAAAAAAAAAAGAGTCCAAAAGTGTATGATCTAGTTTAACTAGTTTGTACAAGCTCAATTATGCATACATGGACAAATTACATTTTGCATTAGAGAAGCTATATCAAAATTAACATTTTGATCTCTCACAAAAGAGGTATGACTGGCATCTCCGAGTAATTTGAGACAGTTGTTCATAAAATATTAAAAAGCATTGCAATCAGTAGTTTAATTATAAAATATCAATAATTTAAAAAAAAAATGTTTGGATATGTAAATGGTAGGCACAAATGAAATATTGGTCAGTTGCCAAATCTTGGATGTATGCTATTTTACTGCGCCTTCCCCATGAGAGATACAGTATGTGGTTATATGTGTGTGTGACATCACACATAAGAAATAATTATACCATCATAGTGAATAGAAGACCATGAAATTGCTATAATAGATAGTTATATAATATCATGGGCACAAAAGACAAAAAACTGCAGTCACTGGTAAAAATGTTTTTATTTTTTTTTATTTTATTTGTTTTCCAAGTAACAGGCAATAAAGGGACCCTTGATTGTCTGGTTTGTGCTCTTAACACTACAAAATCCCCCCTTTAGCCAAAGGTATTTGGAATCTACATGGCTAATTTCACAGAGCACTATTTATTGTAAAGCTGATCTTTTCATAAAATTAAAAAATATATGCAAGTGAACTATGATAATAAAATATATTCCTTCCTTGCATCTATTTATTTTAAGTCATAGTGGCAGAGTTGGAATATCTGCACCTGTTTTCTGCTTGAAGTCACAGTGTTGAGAAATGTCTGCATGCCCTCTAATCATAGCAGACGTTCAGTTTTAGCAGACATGCAGATAATGGAACATGTGCCAGGTTGTTGTTAGCTGTGGGGCATGGCATATTCCATTAGAACGAGTAGCGATCCGTGACTACCTTAACATGCTGACTCAAGGTATCACTGTCACCTTCCCTTTGTTTGGCTCTCTCATTTTCTTAGCTGCAAAGATTGTGTCTTGTCATTCTGCCTGTAATACAATCATATCAATGGCTTATACACCATCTTATTGTGTTATTTCAATACCTGTTGTGTGCAGAATTTTACAAACTTTAGACTTTTAAGATCTCTAATAAAAACAGCAGAAAACTGCAGCTATTATTTTAATTTAACTGGGAACATTAGCTCTCCAATAGTTCTCCCTAGTTGATATCATGCATGCGACCTTTTGTGGAATCACTTATAAATGGCATATCTACGACCTCATCTACATTTTCAACCTATCACATACTAAATTCATCACAAGAGGACAGAATGGGGGTGTCAAATCTTTCTCATTGTAATTGCCATATCTTGCTACAGGGTGTATATGAAATAGATTGTGATTAGTGATGTTACGAACGGTTCGCCGAACGGTTCGCCATGGTTCGCCACGAACGGTTCGCCGCGGACTCCAGTCAGCAGACACATTCCAGCCAATCAGCAGCAGACCCTCCCTCCAAGACCCTCCCACCTCCTGGACAGCATCCATTTTGAAGCTGTATTCTTAGTGAGCTGTCCAGGAGGTGGGAGGGTCTGGGAGGGAGGGTCTGCTGCTGATTGGCTGGAATGTGTCTGCTGACTGGAGTCCGCGGCGAACCGTTCGTGGCGAACCATTCGCGAACCGTTCGGCGAACCGTTCGGGATATCACTAATGTGATCATTGGTTTCCGTACTGTTACAGCTAAACTAAAATTAATCATTAAGTAGTCATGAATATAAAAGTGAACAACACACTTATTAGTATCACTCGTCAACCATTCAATTTCTTTCCAATATCAATTTTTATTAACCCTTTTCAGTGCGTGCAGTAGGGAAATCCAGAAATACAATGACAGCACTGGCATATCATTAATCAAGCAGAGGTTAAAACATTCTTATCTGCTTGACACTCTTTCACTTTGTCTCTTCAATCCCTGCTTTATTCTCTTTTCCCTTTACTTCAGGCCTATTTTTTCACTTTACACCTCCTTCCCAAGTAACATCTTAGCATCTTCTTCAGAGGTATTAATGTAATAACATGGACAAAGTGCTAAATAATTTCATATATTTATTGTTAAGTGTCTTATTTCAAGAAGATGTGACAGGTGTGCAATTCGAATTGAAAAAAACAAGTAGAGATGGTTAAATCTAATATAAAACCATCTGTGATGAAGGAAATTAAATATAGCCACTTAGCATGAATAATGATTCCTATGAAAATCTCAGTATGCATAAATGAAAGATAGAGAATTAACACAGAAACTTTCTCATAGTTGCAAACCTATGGTAAAATTATTATTTCTCCAATAAAGCACACAGAGCTATTAATGTCATAACACAACTGAATAAAATACATTGTATGTGCTAATGTTATGAGATTAATAAGCCTTTCATTATTAAAAAACGTCTAATATATTTTGTTATTAACCTATCAACAGTGAAAACTACTTTTGTATTGATGAATATTCATTAAACATGCCTTAAAGTAATCACGGTTATATTCTGTATCATTTTTCATTAGTAATATGTAGCATATATGTAGTGGCATAATGCAAATGAATAGATGACACAATATGTACAAATTGATCAATGAACAGCATTATATATATTAACATGACTGAGTGTAGGGTTAATAGAAACACACACAACTTAGTGAATAAAAGTCATCAGATAAATTAGGATCTTTAACTACAGTTATTACTCCTTATTTACATGTTCATCTGAGGATTCGACTGAAACTACTGTAGGCTCGTTCGTAGGTGCACGTGGTCTTTTTAGGGGAAAATAAATATTTGCAGCATTTTTTTTTTATTGTATTTTATGAGGTACAAACAGTAAATATGCATTGTTGGTATGTACAATCATCAATTTTCATATTGATATCCACTACATTCAACATACATAAAACTTGATGCAATTCCAATGTTTACATACTGTTAAAATTTTACACATCTTCCAGTGTCACAAGGTGCAAAAAAAAACATACCCAGTGTTCTTTATTAGTATACCCGGTGAGTTGAATACAGTAATACACCACTGCCAATTGGAGTAGTTGTGTAAGTGTAACACCAAGTCTCGTCTCCTGTCGTTAGAATCAAATGATGTGTATAGGAATCGCAGTGTTAGTGGTCTTACTTTATTTGAACACATTGTTCACATTTTCCTTTACCCCCATTGACTGTGGTTTTAACGTTATCTATTAGTCCGGGGTATTGATGTTGCAGATATGCATCTTGCTTATGATAGTTCTTCCGTTCGTACCTGTTTTTTTTTTTTTGTTAATCATATATGTATGTGTGAATCGTAAAGCAAAAACTAAAAAGGGGAAAAAACTGGGTGGTGGGAGGGGATGGGGGGGAGGGTGGAGAACATAGGTTCCCGGTATTTCCCATGTATATTTTTCTACCTAGTCTCCAGAGGTTACACCATGTCTCTCATCTGCCTCGCTTCTTTCCTTATCTATATGCCTCATTTCATGGGGTACCTGTATGCGTCCCACATTCGCCATGCATCTATCCAAAATTTTTGTGGCGCCCTATGTGCTCGTACAGTACATTCATAAAGTCTAATGTTATCTAGATGTGAGGTAATCGTGTCTAATAGTGGAGGATCTTTTTGAAGCCACGCCTTAGCTATAGCTGTTATTACTGCTATGGCTATGTGGAAAAGGAGGTATTGTTGGGATTTTGAAAGGTCCCGTGGTATATGTTGTAAAAGGAATATCTCAGGCGTGAATGCTACGTCCATATTCCCTATTTGTCGTATAAGGGACTGTACGGACCTCCATAGTTTTGTAATGACAGGGCATGTCCACCAAATATGTATGACATCCCCTTTGTCATGACCACATCGCCAACAAGCTCCTGTCTGTTTCGGGTCAATATGTTTCAGCTTGGTGGGCACCATATGCCATCTATAAAGCATTTTTCTCGACATTTCTATCTGGGCTGTGGATAGAGTTAGGTGTTTGTGGGCCGCAAAGCTTTTACGCCAGTTTTCTTCTGGTAATTGTTTCCCTATGTCATATTCCCATTTTTTGATGAAAGTCAGGTCCCTTATCTTTTTTATGGGTAAATAACTGCTATATACTTTGGAGAGGAGACCAGCTGTTTTATTAGAGTTAGTGCATAGTTGTCTTAATGCCTCCATATTTCTCTTTGTATCTGTGGTGTATGGTGACCCACTGTGTCTCCCTATCCACGAAATTATCTGTCTAGGTGTGAACTCCGCTGTAGGTGGTAGTTTAAACGCTTTTTGTAGTGAGGTAAAGGCTGTATATTTATCGTTATCCATGAGTTGGTGTAAGTGTGTTAGGCCTGCGTCGGTCCATTTCCTAATATTTAGTTGTGGGATCAATACTTCAAAGGAGCGTAGGAGCATTGTTGGGAGTAGCTCTGTATCAAGATTTAAGAATTTTGTGTATTTATCCCATTCTTTCAGAGTTAAGGATGTTGCAGGGGAAATATCCTGAAACTTTTTTCTGTGAGTTTTACTTATTCCTGCTAATGTTGCAATGTCGTATCCCTCTGTGTGCGACGCTTCCAAGTGTACCCACGCCGGGGGCGTGGAATGGGAGCGGAATGCTGCCACTAGTGTGCTAACTATCGCCGCTTTATAATATAAATCTAAGTTTGGGAGACCAATACCCCCTGTTTTTTGTGATAGGTAAAGTATATTTGCAGCAACCCTGGGTCGTTTTTTAGCCCAGACGAAGGCATTAATTGTTTTCTGTGCGTCTTTGATGTATGCTGTAGGTAACTGTATGGGCAGGGTGCGAAATAAGTATTGGAGCTTGGGAAGAACCATCATCTTAACAGCGGCCACTCTCCCAGTCCATGAGATATATTTGTTTTCCCAGCTTCTAAGTTGAGTTTTGATAGAGTGGAGAAGTGTAATATAATTGGCTTTGAACAATTTGTGTGTGTGAGTTGTGAATTTTATGCCCAGGAATGTGAGGTAGTCTTGTCTCCACTCAAAGGCAGTGGCTTGTTGTAGTATGTTGTTTGCCTCAGGTGTTGTGAATAGGCTCATTGCTTGTGTCTTAGTCACGTTTAGCTTGTAATATGAGCAGTCGCTGTATGCCTTCAGTAAAGTATTAAAGGTTGGAATGGAGGTTTGTGGGTTAGTCAATGATAGCATTACATCTTCGGCGAATGCTGTCATTTTGTATTCCCTTCCCCCTCTTACTATGCCGGTGATTTGTGTTTCGTCCCTGATGGTCTGTAACAGTGGCTCCAGTGCTATGATATAAAGGAGTGGTGACAGTGGGCAACCCTGCCTAGTTCCATTAGTTATGTAAAAGGGCTGTGATGCGAAGCCTCCATTTGTCACTCTAGCCGAGGGTTTTGAATACAATGCCGTTATTAGATTTAGAAGTGGTTGTGGAAATTTAAATTTCTGTAGCGTTTCTCGTAGGAAGCCCCAGTGCAACCTGTCAAACGCTTTTTCAGCGTCAAGCGAAAGGAATACACTGGGTTCTCCCTGTCATTGCTTTGTGTAAAGTAAATTGTATCGTTTTCTTGTGCCCTCAGCCCCTTGTCTGCCCTTCACAAACCCCACTTGATCTTGTTTGATTATTGTAGGCAGCATATCTGCAATTCTTGTGTCATATAGTTTGGCTAGGATTTTGGTATCTGTATTTAGGAGGGATATGGGCCGTAGGTTTTGAGGTTTATTTGGGGGCTTACCCGGCTTCGGCAGGGTAACTATATGTGCCATCAGCATGTCAT